TATTATTATTATTATTATTATTATTATTATTATTATTATTATTATTATTGTCAGTGCATGCGGAGAAACTTCTAAAGTCAATTTCTTCAATTTTTCTGCTTCAAAATGCTTTGTACTGTAGAAAAGCATTTTATCAGGTATGTGAGAATGGAGTCTGCTGTCCACTACCAATATGCATGAATGGTCAGATCGCCATCCAGCTTTGTGCATTTGGAAACATTTGTCCTATGGGTTATGTCTGTGAAGGTTAGAACGTATGATATACAATTATGTTTCTATATTTACTAAATGAACAGTTCTGGAATAGGCCTTACCCGTGGTTTCAAAACACTACCAGAATTCACCTCCATTTTCAAAGGACTGGCCATAATTTGCTACTACAAAGCTAATTCCTGCACGAATCGCTCATTTGCTTTGATAAAATTGGCCCGTCTACGAAGTTAGGGTGCTTTCAGTTTACTTACTAATCAACCGTGAGAAATAACCCCGGAGAATCTTGTCAGCCTGCGATTTTTTGTCAGCAAAATGCTAACGTTAAGTCATGCCTCCTTGTTTTCCTTGTTTTCCTGTGCCTCCTTGTTTTCCTTGGAGAGAGAAATATGAACTGAATTTCGAGTCTTTTTTAGGAAATTATTTTTTCTAAATTATTTGTTTTTGAGAGTTAATTTTGTATTTTCTCGACGTAAAAAGCTCCTCTTTCGCTTACTGCCACAGATGCGTCAATAAACGAAAAAGAAGCTTTTTACGTTTGCATATCGAATCGACAGAGGTTGGCTAACTTGTTACAGCAGCTTGAAAAACTATTTGTTGTCATGGTTTGGCAGTATTAGCTTGCTTGTAATGAAAGAGCCATCGACTTCATAGCGATTTACTGTTGGCATTTTCTACCATTCGGGGAGGAGAGTACTTCTGAATGTGGAAAAATTTTTGAATTTTGACACTAACATGAGGTTCGACATATTCAAAACCCTTTTTACTTTCTTTTATTGTAAAGAACAAATCGTCGCGATTGAAGCATGGAAAATTTAATTTAGGCCACAAGCGCCCAATTATTTAGTTAGAAATTTCTTACTACGTGCTATTCATGCGAAAGCGCTGTCTGCATTACATCGAATTTCAGGTCGTGGTTGTTGCATAGAACCGTTACCACTATGCCCGAATGGTGGTCGCGCAACGCAACGTTGCAGTCGCGGTGTGGATTGTCCGCCAGGATTCGGATGTACTGGGATGGGCGGTTGCTGCTTGTTGTCGCTGGAACCAGTGTGTCCGTCGAATCAAAACGCTATTTGCCAATGTTCTCCGACCAATAACTGCCCACCACAGACTGCATGCAACATGGGAACATGCTGCACATCAAGTTAGACTGTAGACTGATGCTGAAAAATAGCTGACTGCACTCTGATAAACTGTTTGGCCGACTGACAAATTGGTTCATGGACGAGAATGTCAGACTGAAAGATAAACTGACTTACTAGCTGGCTACTGACTGGTCGACTAACTTACTGACTGATTGGCCGAATGATTGCTGATTACTGGATGAATAACTGATTGACTGACTGGATGACTGATTGACTGACTGACTGAAATCTGATTTCTCATACTGAATTTTGCAAAAAATGCCAAGAAAAAGTGAGCGGATCCTGTTTCAAACAGAAAAAAACACAAAACTTTGAATCAAGCCTGTTACTTTCAGCATCACAGAGGGCTTATGACCAGATACCAGGTACCACTTGCCAATCGAATTCCCAGTGCAATGGTTACCGCAGCAATGGCGCGCAGTGCATGCAATCAATTTGCGTGTGCATCAACGGCGCCGCGTCGAATGGTGCAACATGTCAGCAGCTTAATCCTGCCACTCTGCTACAGGTAGTTTCTGCTCGGAGGTAGAATAAGCATGCTTGTATCTCTTCAAACATTTCATGTTTGAATATTTCTTGCTTTTCGCAAACTTAAACACCTGATTTTCTTCCATTCATTATAAATGAAGGCTGCCCGGATAGTCGATTTCGGAATCCCTATGTTAATGATGTTATTGGACTAATACTGCCACTCTTCTGCAGATAGTTTCTGCTTGGAGAGAGAATGAGCACTGTAGGTACACAGTAAGGATCTGCTGCAGGTATCTCCATGTTTTTGGCTATTTCACACGTCCTGGCCAAGTTTTTTTTTTTTTTTTTTTTT